GGAACTTGTAGATCTTCCTAAGGGAAATGATTCAGTTGGATGTAAATGGGTATTCACAATCAAACATAGGGCTGATGGCACGGTGGAGAGGTATAAAGCTCGTTTAGTGGCAAAGGGGTTTACACAAGTGTACGGAGTTGATTATGCAGAGACTTTTGCACCCGTTGCCAAAATGAACTCCATTAGAGTTCTATTCTCTCTTGCTGCTAATCTTGACTGGAATCTACATCAGCTTGATATCAAGAATACGTTCTTGAATGCTGACCTTGAAGAGGAAGTTTGCATGATACAACCCCCTGGTTTTCAGGCTCAAGGCAATGAACGAAAGGTGTGCAGGTTGAAGAAGTCTTTATACGGGCTTAAACAATCACCGAGAGCCTGGTTCAGCAGATTCCATGCAGCGGTTCAATAGAAAGGATACAAGCAATGTCAATCTGATCACACATTGTTTGTGAAAAGAGGAGAAGGTAAAATTGTTGCTTTGATAGTATATGTTGATGATATAATTATCACTGGCGACTAGAATGATGAAATCCAAAAGTTGAAGAGTTTTCTTGCCACACAATTTGAAGTAAAGGATCTAGGTCCTCTAAGATACTTCCTAAGAATTGAAGTTGCCCGCTCAAAAAAGGGTATCTTCATTTCCCAAAGGAAGTATGTCCTACATTTACTCTAGGATACAGGAAAAATGGGAATGAAGCCAGTTGATTCCCCCATTGATCCTAACCATAAATTAGGTGACAACCAAGGTGAACCTATCAAGGATGTGAAACAGTTTCAKWGACTTATAGGGAGATTGTTATATCTTTCTATGACCCGCCCAGACATTGCTTATGCAGTTGGTGTCCTTAGCCAGTTCATGCATGCCCCTATGACCACTCATCTTGAAGTAGCAGAAAGAATCCTCCGATACCTTAAAAGGTTTCCAGGTGTTGGCTTGTTGTTTCAAAGGCATAGACATTTGAAAGTTGAAGGGTATACTGATGCAGATTGGGCAGGATCCCTAAATGACAGAAAGTCAAACTAGCGGCTATTGCACCTTCATAGGAGGAAATCTAGTTACCTAGAGAAGCAAAAAGCAAAGTGTGGTAGCTAGATCCAGTGCTGAAGCTGAATATCGAGCAATGGCTCATGGAGTGGCTGAAATTATGTAGATAAAGAATCTGTTGAGTGAGTTGGATTTTTCCAGTGGACAGACCTATGACCCTATTCTGTAATAACAAAGCAACCATAAACATTGTTGCTAACCCTATGCTACATGATAGAACTAAACACATCGAAGTCGGCAAGCATTTTATCAAAGAAAAAGTTATCACAGGGGAAGTGTGTACTCCCTATGTCAGCTCTGAGGATCAACTTGCAGACATCTTTACAAAAGGACWACACCACTCAAGACATCATGATTTATGTGACAAGTTGGGCCTGATTGACATCTATGTCCCAACTTGAGGGGGAGTGTTAACAGCTGTTATTTTTTCCTATGTATAGTACTGCAGGGATACTATTGTACTTTTGCTCCTTTTTTATTTTAGTTGTTGTCGCCCTAGTATATATATTAAAAAGCTGCGCCGGCAGCAGTATCTTTGAGCTCTCAGTTCTCTCTTCTCTCTTCTTCTCTCTCTTTTCTCTCTTCTTTCATTCTTCTCTCTTGCATAACAGTAACCATAATCATTATTAAAAAATAAATTAGTACATTATACTTCTAACTTTCAAACCCCTTCCTTGGGGGTAGATGGGCCTAGCCTACCATATTGAGGTGCTTGGCCATTTTTGTATATCGTAATATGTAATACTTGCACATTCTTTCAATTTAATCAACAAACCAGTATGCTTTTTTGCTGATCAAAAAACAAAAAGCATAATCCACCCCTCCTGTCAGGTGACAAGCGCACCATTTTATATCTCTCCTCTGCTCACTTTGCATTGAATTGGATTAAATACAGTTCTCTCTCCTTAAGTTTCCCCTATTCATTGCACTCTTAATATCTAATAACTGGCAATTCCCTATTCTGCATATCATATTTGCCGATTAATCACTTTCCCAACAAAGGTGTCCACATGCCACAAATCCCTTCTTGATTAAATCTCCTTAGAGGAAGTTGACAAAACAAAAATAAAAGCTTTAGCAACCCATGACTCTATTGTTGTTACTTAGGGTACAAACTCAGACAACTAGATACCTATATTAGACAAGAGATTTCTATAATTTAGCATGTCTGGCACTGACACAAACACAATCCATGTACCTTTACTACATAGAGTACAAACCGCTCCAGATCAAGACATCGCAGCAGAAAATGAGCCCCCACAATAACCATAACAGGTCGTCCTTCACTATCTACCCCACCACGGTAACTGAAATACCAAAAAAAAAGAAAAGACAGATCAACAAGTGTTCTGGATATCAGGATAATAATTATAATAATAATAATAATAACAGTAATTTATAATATTTCTGCTATTTTATAATATAAATACATATATCCTAAAAACTGATGACTACATTCTAGATATGGAACACCATGCAAAAGAAGTACCCGTTTTGATTGAATAAATTGCAAAAACAAACAAATCTATGATGTGCATGCAAATAAAACTTGGCATACTTACACTATTTTCATTTCCGCAATTTCAGAAAGATTAAGGGAATTTGCTTTAGCAAGATATCTAGAATGAAGTGAGTATTCTTCTGCAATGGACAAGGGAGGACCACCAAGATCACCAAATCCAAGAAATTTAGCACAATTCCAACCACTTTGTGCTCGAGCAGCCTTCTCCCATTGTTCTCTTCGTCTCTGATCTGGATCCTTAATCAAAGACATGAATGCAGGATCCAGATATGAATCCAAATAGGATGAATTCCTGTTGAGATAACTTTCTTCAGTAAAATCATTCAACCAATGAAACAGAAAAGGGCACTAGCCTGTAAAAGATGGTTCAATTGCAATTTGCAAAGTAACCAAATTAACATATTTAATGTGAGTGCCTTGTCTATTGACATCATTCACAATTTGGGTGTACACATCGACATCACATAAAATTTTATGTGATAATATTTTGGGTCCCCCAAGTTTCAGTTTGTTTTGACATAAAAAAGGCAGAAATTTTTCAGTTACATTCATGCCCCCTTTATCTAAAGAAAAAAATAACTTTGTTTGCTGCCCCTTTCCAAATTGGATGTTTGGAATTTGTATTTACCCACAAATAAAACAAAACGGGTGCTAAAGGTCAACCAAATGAGTTAAAGAGTCATGGTTGCAAGTGGCAGACTGGTGCTTTTTGAGCTATTCAACATTTATGTACATGAAAGTGATAAGGTTAAATAAGGAAAAAAACACGCCAAATACAGATATTTTTTCTGGTCATAAATCAATTGAAAGATGAGATTCATAATCGTTGCACATATTAGCTGATTTGAATCTTTCTGGGAATCAAAAGGTTAATCGTTAAACATTAAAACAGGAAATCAACATCAGCCTTGAATGAGGTCAGCAAGCAAGAACTTTTCAGCAGCAATCTGTATTAACTGTCTTATAAAAATTTAAAACATGAAGAATAGAAACAGATGTAATTTCACTAACCGTCTCATTGTTAACCCAACATCACTAACGGGAAGAGCTTCAGGAGTAATGGGAGGTTTTGGGACACTGGTAGTTATAGCAGGCAAGGGCTTTATTCTGATTTTGCGTTCATCTATTATTGTCTCACCATTCTCATCCCCAACATCAGCAGGAAGCTTTGACAGTGCCACCTCCTCCTCATGTTTATCTCGAGGAAAGTACAGCGGAAGAAGTCTACAAAGTGAAAAAAAAAAATGATTAGGGAATAAAATCAACAAAGCTAGCAAGTAGCAGATCTCATTGTGGCCACATATAAGTTCTGTATCAACTTATTCAAATAATGGTATTTTTTGCACTAAAACAACAAAAAGAATAGCACATAGAACAGAGATACCTTTTATATATTTCAGTATCAGATGCCGTGGTAGTACAAAAAACAACAGCTGTAATTTTATCTTTGTGCTTCTCTAGAAACCGTCGAACAGTCCCTGGTTACCCCCACATAAAGATGAAATGAACAAAAGTAAATAGAATTAGGTTTCCTGAACAGAAAAAGGGGGGTGGGGGGATATCATTCTAGACAACACAACAAGGGCATTGTGGATATCTCACTTATTGCCACATGTGCAGCAGGTTCACGAGGATAATTTTTAGCCTCTGTATATATACAGCCCATAGCAATGCTGCATTAGACAAACAAATCTAAGTTACTCAGTATCTTCACAAGAAGTAGAATGGACCTATGAAATGAACAAGGCTAGAAGTGCAATATGTAGAATATCAACCAACAAACAACCTCTGAAGTCCATTTTCTATAAGAAGTTCAAGGCAAGAGCGGTAGCAGTGACTCAGAGCATTCTCTGCAGCAGTATGATACTTGACTGCATACTTCGGACCAACAGTGTGAATCACCCGCCTGAAAGATCACAAGATAAGTTTTCCAGGCTCAATTGTAATCTAAATATCCAGCATAGAAAAGCAACATAAAACCTAAAGGGTATTTTTTAAGTTAAATGCCAAGTAATGGCATAAACAATATCTTATCAGATGCATAAATCAGTGTAGTTAAGTTGACCAAGTGGCATCAGTGCTGATTTTTAGCTCCCCAGGCACACCCATATTGACCCAAAATGGGTTAGCAGACTAAAATCAATATATTGAGGGAACACAATAACCTATTTGCCTCCATTAAGATGCTTACATCTATATCAAGTCCAACTGACTAGTTGGTCACCTAGGCAATAGGCCTCCAAAATACCCAGCTGCCACCTAGGCAACTCTTTAATCAACTTTTAAAGTTCAATGTATGTTCATCAAAAACAATAGCTGATAATGAATAGCATCCGTGCAACTTGACAAGCAAGCTCAAGAAGACCGAAAGAGAGAGAGAGAGAGAGAGAGAGAGAGAAAGAGAGAGGTTGCACAACTGAATACAAGTTACAGAAGTTTAATGTACATACATATACATATCCAGGATACTTGATCATAAGTTCTAGTTTTGAAAGGTCAATAGAGAATTTATCATTTTCTGAACTTCAAAATTATATTTCAATGTTTTAGAAGATCAATAATTCTTAGAATTAAAATTATCATGCGGTTATGTATGTTGACAATATGACTTAACATATTCCAAAAATTGGGCTGCAATATCTACAACTCTCTCTGAAACAATAAAAATATATCTAAATTTTTCACGAAGGGCATTTAGGTGTTTCCCAAGTAGATATTGGGGGTGTATAACCAAGGTTCAAAGTATTGATACATATCAGGCCATATTGGCCTATACGTACCGTATCGGGGGCTTCCCGATACACCCCTACAGGGGGTGTTTCGGGGACCCAACCAGTTCAGAGGGTGGATGGACCTTAAACCGGTCCCTCCGAACCAGATTTGAAAAAAAAAGTACAAAAATAAGCTACCGATATGCCACTACCAGCATATCGGGCATATCGATATGTTGAACCTTGTGTATAACCACATTTATGAAGCATTAAATCCAATCTTATACTTTCTAGGTAAGTACTAGCATGTTATAACTTTTTTTTTATCAAACTAGCATGTTATAACTTCATAAGTGAAGTACTTTCCAGAATACGCCATGAACGGGTAAACGCTGCTCCATCCAAAAGAGAAAAGACTGTTGCTTTTGTAGTCATTTAGAACAATTTGGGCTCACAGGTGGCCAGTGGGTGAATTCATTTGATGCAGAAAAGCATATATGAACTGGGCATCATTCGAAGTTTTATTCTTGTGTGTTCCAAGAAACCAAACAAAGACTTACATGAACCTAAAAATAATCTTTTACAAATTTCCTTTTTCTTTATGTTCCAGACTATAGGAATATAGTCAATACAAATACCAAAAGAAAACATTCAAAACCAACAAACATAGACTCACCTAGCAGGTAGATCATATGCATTGGTAACCTTGGCCATTCCTGTTCGACATCCACCCTGTGAAAAATGAAGGGATATGGATATCAAGTTTGCCAAAAGAAAGAACTATATGACTTAGTGGAGATTAAGCAAATTATTTCAAGTAACTTTGTATTACCAGCGTCATGCATTCTTCAGCAAGACCAGGTCCAGCTGCAGCATGCAAACCAGGACTACTATGTGCTTCATCCAAACTCTGTGAAATACCCACTTGAAAATTGAGTCTTCAGCCTTGGAAGTGAGCATATTTATTACTTGATTTCATCATGTAAGTTATAGAAGCCCATCATACTTAAGAGGCCATGTTAACTAGAAAAAGCAAGGACAGAACTGGACAACGTGTTGGCATGGAATTTATAGTAAATATTGAAGTGCCTGGCATGATGGATATCCATGTGCATGCATCCATATATGATGAGATAAAAGAATTCTAAATCTCTACGTGTACAAAAATTTAAGACTTTGCACAATCCACTATTAGTACTTATTACTTAATGCAAATTTAATAGTTCAACAGAAAATTGGGAGCCAAACAATCATCAGTGAGTTGCAAAGATCCCATAAAGATAAAGGAGAGAGAGAGAGGAAAACGACTTTAGGAAAGTACTTATTGCTCACCTCATTTGTGGAGTTGACGACTGCATCAACCTCAAGATTCCAAGGGTTTCCCCGCCAGAGATATACCTTTGAGTTTATTTCATGATCGACAGGAAACCTTGATGTAGTCCCACTGGCGCCATTATCTGCTCCAGAAGCGGATGTGAGGGGATCCAAAAAGTACGAGCTAGGAAAGGAAACATCCTCGTTCTCATATGCCAAAGAAGACCTCTGCTCAGCATCGCTCCAACGTGGAACTTGATCAAGTTGAACCACACAGTCTCCGCTGTCTGTAGGTAGTCCACCCCGGGTGGTAGCCGAAGACACACTCCGGTACATCTCCCCTACCCCAAGGTCAAAGCTTTACTAACCTATCTATCGAGTTCCTCCAAACTAAAACCAGAAGCTCTTGGATTCCGCACTACTCAACGAACCCAAAATTCCCCCACTTCCACAACTGCGAATAAGAATTCCGCAACTCAACTCAAAGCCCTAGTTGATCAGTATATCATCCTGCAAAAGCAATGAATCCTTATCACGTCTAGAGTACATCAAATACGCATGTAAGAGCTATAATTCCGTCCAAAATTTTAGAAACAAAAACCCATAAAGGCGGTGATTTTTGGCCATCTATGCACGCCAATCACTGTCAATGGGAAAAAATCAAATAATATGATCAAAACAGCTCGCCGTCAACAACATGATGGTATAGATATCTCCGATATCAGTCGATAAAATTAAGTAAGCAGTGAAAGGAATAGAAAACACAAAGGAAAATCATGTGATCACCACATCTGAAACCAGCAGAATTTAGGTATTTTGTTACGAGCACCTACAAATTTGGAAACTGAATTGGACAGAATTTCAAAGAAGGAAGAAAGCAATAATGGTGGAATTGAAAACATAAACAAAAAAAATCCCTAGTTTTCGAGTTCAATGATTGAATATGTGTTGAAGAGAAATACCTTAGCTTTTGCCCCCTTTCAACCCTCTCAGTGCTTGGTAAGGTTACAACTCAACAACTGTTCTTGCCGTATCGTGAATTCGTGACTACCGTCTCGATGAATTTTAATTGATAGAGAAGAAAATAATTTACGGAAGGATGAAATATGTATTTTCTACAAATACCCTCAATATCTCTGACAAATAGAAAGAAACCCCTACCCTTAAGGATAAATTAGAAATCCGCCCCTCCATGAATCTACGCTGAGTCGCTTGGCCGCCTCCCTACTGGCTCAGGTCCTCAGGAGGCGCATGGCCAAAATAACAGATCGGCCCAATTTTTTATACATCGAGTATCGACGGCGTTTATCGGTTGAACCGGTAGTCCGTCACCCGGACGGAAAATCGTTTCCGTTTTGGGTTGTGCTTGGCCTTGGCGCCACGTTTACCGTTTACCGGAAGACGAAGGTGAAAATTGGAGGATCCGCAATCCGCATTTCGGACTTACATGTGTTTTTCTTTTGGGGGGGTCAAGTTACGGAAGGAGAGAGGTGCAGTGTCTGTTGCGGGAGAGTGTGGAGTGGGATGCTTCTTGGAAGCTTGTCTAGCAGTCTAGGCGTCATTGAATTTGAACCCAATCTCTTCCTTTGCTCAAAATAAGGGGCTTAGGGTCTGTTTGGGAGGGTTGACGCTTTAGCTTGGTTGCTTCTATTTAACTAACTCCTTTTGTATAAACCACGAAAAGAAGTTTCAGAGAAAACCATATTTTTGGCTGTAAGGTAGTTACTTACTTTGGGTGTTCTGGGCTTTTCAGCTTTTCACCAAGGCCTGGTTCTTTTCGGGCTTTTTGGAGTTTCGGTTTCTAACGTTTGGTAAGGCTGAAGCTTTAGCTGGGTTGCTTCCATTGAGTTCCTTCGGAGAAACCACAAAAAGAAGCTTCAGTGAAAAACTCGACAGAAAAAGTGATAAATTTCCCGAGAAAATCCAATAAACTTAAATATATATATATATATATAAGAGATATTCTCAATATGTGATTGGATATTATACGAACAAAAGTATTTTTTACAGGAGATCTGGAGTTTTTTGGGGTTTTCACCAAACTCACACTAGGGCCCATAACATGCATTGAGTCTATGTATTTTATGAATCTGTACCCAGCCCACCAAATATGAATCCAATACGCTTTATTTTATAAACTCAAACCCAACCCAACCCAACCCAACTACTTCAGCCAAGTCCTTCTAGTGGGATAGGTTAGCGTTGGCAATTGAACCCTTTGTCACCCAACTATGTTATGAGACGGGATCCCGAAAAAAATTATGCACATACTCTGAAAGTGAGCATATTATTGTAGGGGGTATTTTATAACGTGAATTGTTTTTTGCTTGTTGCTGGTTCCAAAAAATAAATCAAAACCAACTTGTTTGAAAACCGATTGTTTCTCAAAACAAAAAATAGAAGGGACATGTTATTGATTGTATATGTGTTTTTTGTTTTCAAAACGAAAGTGAAAAATATATTCTTGAATCTAATTTCAAAAATTTGATTATTCAACATTATGTTCCATAAATCATACAATTTCCATATTAAAAATTGTTTTTATTTTAAAAACCAATATTTTATTGATTTTAAAAACATATATTATTTTTTGAAACAAAACCAACTTATTTTTTCTCTCTGAAAACAAAAATAGAGTTGAAGAAAATGCTTTTATTTTTACTGATGTGATGATTCTAAAAAACAAAATTTGTTTGTAATTAATTAGAACCGGAAATTGGAGAAGTAAAAGTGTTAAACCATACATATCGTTACGCAAACAAACGCCTAATACATCAATAGTAAGTATCAGGACGACTGCCGTCTTCTTATCTTTATCTATTAGAAAAGGGTAATGGTATTAGACCAAGTCGTGACTCGGGATCTTGCTGTTTCCACTATGCTCTGGATGGGGTTGTGAGTTGTGACCCCCAATCACATTCGGACATGTTTATTTCATATGTGTGGAGCAATTAATGTGTGATTACTTAAGCCATATGAATTATGATTTAGGAAAGATATAACCAGATGGGCTTTGACTTGGTCAATCTGAAAGAACTGAACTGACCGAACCGATTTTATTTGTTCTGGTTTGGAATTTTGTATCGATTAATCATTATTGAGTTGGTTTTGGTTTCTGCATTTGTACGTGCAGTGGTAACGCTGCATATATTTATCCTTCCCTAGCCTCGCATTGGGAGATTGTGCATTGGCCGGCTCGAATTTCTGGTTCTTGCTCTTTATAAATCGACTGTTTTTTCTTTTGCTCCCAAAACCGAGTGGTCTGTTAATAATATATAAAAGTTCCTTAGTTTTTTTATAATTTTTATTATATTTGTGTCTAAAAGGTGAAGTTGATAATTTTGACTCCAATCCATTTGATTCTTCCAATTCACCTGATGATGCACGATTTGGTTGTTTCTAGTTGAATGGCAGTTTGAATATAAGTCTACTTAGATGGTCGGTCGAACTACAAGAAAGCACAATCAGAGAACCTGGGGTGATTTATCCGGTGTGGGCACTCCGATGCTTAAGTTAGCGAGATGGAGATTGCGAGCTAAGAGATTTAGTAAGCTAGAGAGCAAGTAATCATGTGTAACTTATAACGTTGGGGGTGAAGCCCTTATATAGGCGAGCTATCGTAGGTCTTATGAAACACCTCCAAGATTCCTGGCCCGCACTACCAGGATTTTGTTTCGCACTCGGAGGTGGACTTCGTATGAATTGATAAGGCTTATCGAGTTCGTCCGATCCAGGCGGGGTAAGGATAAGGCTTGCGGACGTGCAATATGATCCCGGAGAGGTCGGAGACAATTGGCTAGCTTCTAAAAGTTGGCTACGTGTCACCTCGACAAGTCGGGCCATCACAAGCTACTCGGACCTCGATCTTGACCAAAGTGCCCGAGGTACCCAAGCTGACCTAGTTTGCTGAGGTGGTAGAAAATGTTGAATCATCAAGTCAATCCACGTGTCCACATGCTAACAAATCAGACCAAATTACCCTTCATCACCACCCATTTGAATAGTGGGTCAAGATGGGCCTAGTGACCCATAAGGGTCAAAAAACGGGTTAGGGTCAATTGGAACATTGACCCTCTCTTTAGGGTTGGATTTATTCTCCTGAAACCCTCCCTCTCCCTCTCCCTCTCCCTCTATCTTCTTCTCTTGCCCAGATCTTCGTTTAAAGCCAACCACCGCACCAATTCCTCGTATCTATGGAAGGTGGACGTTGACCACCCCTCTATTTGAAGATGGCTACAACACCGACTCCACAGATCGAATCTATGGAAGGTGGGCACCACCACCTCTCTCTCTCTCTCTGATGTTGAAGTTGGTCGCTAAACCACACCACCACCCTCTAATCTACCACTCAAATCTCCGATTTGAATTAACCACCGCATCGCCACTCTCTCTTCCACACTCAGATCTTCAAATTGAAGATTTGAATCTTTAGGATTAGATATTTCAGCCACTAGTGTTTTGAAATTCTAAATTTTGCAATTTGAATATGGAATGTATATTTTACATCATTTATGCAAAAATATTTTTGTAAATTTTTATCTTATTGTATGAGGTATTTTTTTTAATTTGTTGCAATCTCTGTTGGATGCTATATTTAATTTTTGTTTGATTTTTTTTTTGAAAAAAATTACCATTTTATTAGTTTATCACTATATCTACAATTTATATCTTTTCTAATATGTATTCTTTGTAGTTTCTGATTTTGTCCGAGATTTTTTTTTTGAAAATATATCATTTTCTTGTTTTTCTACATTTCTTTTACTTTTTTGCTATAATATATAAATTTTTGAATATTTTATCATTTAATGTATCTTTGCAATTTCTATTTTTATCCAAATTTGATATTTTTCTAATTTTTTTTGTCTTTTCCAATTTTCTTTTTTTTTTTGCAATTTCTGATGTTATAAATATATATAGTATCATTTTTCTGTATTTTATATTTGAATTTTTTTTAACTTTTTATCTTTCTTCATTTATTTTTAGTTGATATATATATATATATATATATATATATATATATATATATATATATATGTGTGTATGTGTGTGTGTGTGTACATTTCTGTAATTGTCTACAAATTTCCTGTGTTATTTTTGCAATTTCTAGTGTTTTACATGAAATATATATTATTTACCATTTTTTGTGTTTTTTATAGTTTTTATATTTTTATTTGAAAATTTGAAACTTTTTATATTCCTTTATTCTATGTTTTTCATACAATTAAAATAGAGAAAAGTAAAAAAAAAAAAAAACTTAATTTAAATTAGAGTGTCAAATGGGCAGGTTAGGGTAGGATGGGTCAGTGTTAGAATGGGTTGTGACCCACAACATGGGTGGCAAATGAGTTAGCGGGTTAATATGGGTGGGTTGATACAACCAAACTCACCCATTTGTCAGAGCAAGTTTGATAGATAATATATAATACAATTTCAGTTAAAAACACTTGATTCATTAATATATAAATAATTTACTATTTTACTATAATTTATTATCATTAAAACTATGCAATGAAAAGTTAAGTTTTAATTATGTTATTTACATAAATAATTAAATATACCATTATAATCGGGTCAATCACATTGGACCCGATTATCCAGATTAAAAATCAAGATGGTTCTAGGTTTATGGTTTTGTGTTGATTAATAATAAATTTAAGAGTGAGGACTAGGACACCCTTGTCGAAACTCATTGACAGCCTTAACTTGACCAATCAAAACCGCCAAGGGGTTTTTTGTAATATTGGTTGATTGGTTACAACTTACAAGTTTTCCGATATCATAGTTAAACTCCTTTTTTATAGAGGATGCTCATTGGAATAAGAAGATATTTGTTATTGGTTTAGCTTAATTGGACAAGGTCTGAAATGAGAGAATGGACGTCTGTCTAAACAATTCAAGCATTGTCTCTAACTTAGATTGCTAATCCATAGATTAATTGGTTTTCAAAATCTATAGATTAGCAATACATTCTATTCAAAGCCATATACATAGTCAAATTACTAGTGCTTAACTTATTTCTTACAACTGAGAGGGATAGGGGTAGCCCAATTGGTGCACTAGATGAAGAGGGTGGGGTTTTGAATTCCGGTATTGTCAAAATTGATTTGATGTTTTACTATTCACTTAAAAGAATAAAGGGGTGTCATGCATTGATTAATAACAACACCTTCTGTTTGGTATCGATGTTGCATATAAGAAAACGATGTCTTTTTTCTTTCTTTGAAAAGTTGTTGCCAGGTAGGACTTTCCTGCGGCAATAACAATACCTTTTGTTTGGTATCGAGTCCAGATCTGCTCCTCACCGCCTAACACCTCACAAAGTCCTCACAAAACGTAAGGACGCCATGCGTCCCCAAAATCATGTGAATTAGCATGCACGAGTGGGGAGCCTAACAGTCGTTAGTCTCCATTCCATTATCCCCCCCCCCCCCCCCACCAAGTATTCCCCCTCCGCAAGTCTTACTTCTAATTTTCTATTCTTTCCCACTAAGCCTCTGCTAAACCCTAGCGCCACCGGTTGTAGTGCTTTCTCCGATGGATGGTAATTTCATTAGCGACAATATAAAGTATCCCTGCGATCACCAACAAAACAAGACTAACAACTCTGCTAATTTCTCTTTTCTTGCCTAAACTCTCATCCCTGTTCCTTTTCACGAAGGACCCAAACTAATTACAATCTATTAACACCGTGACCATTATGGCACTATCGGTTCAGTTGCATTCAGATGGTAATCTTTTTGTATGAAAAAATTAAGAATTAGTGGGATATGACATAAGAACTAGTTATTTAGAAAAAAAAAGGGAAAAAGTAGACAACAAATTCTAAAGTTGTTGGTCTCAATGAACAAACTTTCTAGAAATAGAAAACACTGTTCACTAGAACTAGTCTCTGTATGCTCCAGTTTGAACTAGAAAACACCACATTCATTCGAATCGGTTTGGAAGAAAAAAAAAAGAGAGAAACAAAAAACCCGAACTTGAGATTTTTCAACAGCCTTTTGTTCTTAGGATTTTGGAAGATTTACTTGTGTTTGAATCATCAGAATTGAGTTGCCCTGTCTATTCTCGCTAATGAGATTAAGCCCCGCTAGAGAGACAAAAAGATTTGGATCCTAACAAGAAGAGAAAAAGAGGGCTTGGGTCCTTCGTGAAGAGAAAAGAAAGAGAAATGAGAGTTTGGACAGGAAAAGAGAGCAGCAGAGTTATCGAAATCTCATTTCGTCGATGATCACAAGGAGCCTTCATATTGTCGCTAGTAAAATTGGCAGCTGCTGAGGAAAGCACTGCAACCGGTGGAGGGTGCTAGGGACTAGGGTTTCATATTTTCATTGTTAGAGAGAAAACAGGAGAGACAAGAGGGAATACTCAGGCGGGGTGGGGGCACGGGCTAATGGAATGGAGACTAACGGCTGTTAGGCTCCCCACTCGTGTGTACTAATTCACATGATTTTGAGACGCGTGGCATCCTCACGAAATATGAGGACTTTGCGAGGCGCCAGGTAGTGAGGAGCAGATCCAGGCTCTTTGGTACCAGTGCTCCATATCTGTTTTCAACACCGGTGCCCATTATAGGAAGTTCACGTCACTGCCACATCATATCCTTATTGGCTGCAACGAATTTCAAATTGAAAAAACGTCGAATTCAACATTTCCCCATAACACGCCTTCTCGATTTCCAAGACATGGTTTAGAGTACCATTTTAACATTTTTCATGAAAAAAACGGTTTCAGATATATTACTATTTTCTAGAGCACTGATTTTTCAACGTGACGCTGATGTATTACGATTCCATGGAGCAACGGCGTCGATGTCAAACACCGCCAAAAATAGTTAGAAGCAGTGTTTTGCTTTTAAAGACGAGTAAAGGGGCACATGCAAGATGGAAGAGATGAATAAACAAATAGATGAAACCAAGAAGTCCCAAGATCTGAGCCCAATTTAATAATAATCACCATAAATTTCCCATTATTTAATGACAATATTCTAAAAGGAAACAGGAATCTAATTAATAGTTTGAGTCTTCTCGCACATGTGCATGATTGCCGCCGTGAGCAACTGGTCTGAGTTGCCACCACTCCCGACGGCCTTCCTAGCCTCTCCTCTAAGGTGTCTGGCCTGTCTCTTCAACTGATTATTCTCCATTAGCTCCCCAATGCGCATCCCGATCTCGTCTCCGCTCACCAACTCTTCACCACCCCAACCCCACTTCTCCACCCATATCCCCCAACCCACTCCTCACCACCACTTCTGCATTGATCTTCTGGTCTCCGTATTGTGGCCATGCCAAGATTGGCACTCCCTGGTACGCTGCTTCAGTCACAGAATTCCACCCGCAATGGCTGACAAACCCGCCTATAACTTTGTGTGCAAGAATCTCAGTCTGGTCTACCCAATCTTTGATCACCACTCCCTTGTCCTTCACTCTCTCCAGAAACCCATGGTCGACCAGATCCACCAACTCCTCTTCGTCCTCCGTGTCAACTTTCATCCCTTTCAATACCCACAAAAACTTATATCCACTTCTCTCCAACCCAGTACCCAACTCCTTGATTTGCTCCTTGGGAAGAGCCGTCCTGCTCCCAAAACTGACATACACCACTGATTCTTCTGGTTGTGCATCTAACCATGCAAGCCATGGTCCATTTTTGTACTCGTATGGCTCCAGCGGACCAATAGCCAGCACAGGCGGAAGCCCACTCACGACAGTGCCGTTATTCAGCACCGAAAGCGACTCTCGCTCCAAGCTCTCGAAGGTGTTTATTAGGATCCCTTTGGAATGGATGAGTGCTCCACCATTTGCTTTAATTAATGTCGTAAAGAGGTGGGCTGGGTTGAAGAGGGGTGGAGGAATCCATGATTTTGGTACTGATACCCCCCC